TCAGACAGCTATTGTCCGATTGATCAAGCGGAGTATCAAGGTCACGATTTGATTAATGCGTCACTACGTCGTTTCTCGTACACCCAATTTACGACATATATTTACGTATTGTGTCATGAACAATAACACACTGTCGTTTTCTCAGCCGTGTTCCCTCTCCGTATGGGGGCTAGTTAAGAGGCGCTCGTATCGATTACACGTCTTGGCAAGACATAAAAAACTGTCTGAATTCTGTTACCTTCTACATTTTATATTCGGAAAATGGCCGGTAAATGCACTGAAATTCTCAGGAAATGTGGTTTCCAGTGGTCACTATATGATCATCCGCAATCCTAAACAACGTCCCTAAAATTGGATTACGTAATAATGCGTTGCCACATCTCCACAACGTTGTCAATTTTTTGATCAGCCCGTTACAAACATTATGCGTACGGTCAGTCGGAAATTGGTTAATCATGTTAATATTTAAGGACTCAACTGGTGAAACACCTACAGGATTTTTCTCCTGTCGTCTCGAACGAAAATCAGCGTTCGACCTCTGATGCCCTTTAGTTGTTCGAAAATACAGTCACCTATTTTCAACGGCCCCCTTAGATGTACAGTGACAACAGCTGTAAAAACTGCTGTGTTGTTTGACTTGTTTGATGTAACTCTTTGCTGGGGCATCTATGACTATACTGTGCAGAAACACTTTGATCGTTCTTCCGTTTATAACCGTACCCGTATACCCGTCAATTTCAGTGCGCCCAAATCCTCATTGGTGAATGTGTTATGTCTTGTGTCAAGACGATATAATCGATACGTGCGTTTTTTTATCTAAGCCCCAACAACTGGAGAAAGAACACTGTTGAGAAACGACAGTTAGTGTGTATTATTGGTCAAGAAACAACAAGCAAATATCAGATCGTGACCTTGACACTCAGGTTGATCGATCGGAGGACAGTTATTTGATTCGCCATAGCCATCCAATCAAGAGTCGATTCGGCTTGGGCGTTACGAGCGCACTTGTGTTGTGACGCGGGTCGCTGCGTGGCAGGACGGATTTTGTGCGCTCCGTCCTAACAGAATGATAAACTGTATTCATACGAAAGTTGAATCTTACCTGGTGTTATAACATCAAAGGACACAATTTACTACTGATTACTACTACTACTACTACTACTACTACTGATTATTACTGGTTCCGGCTTGTTCGCGTTTGTATGCATTTGGACGGAAATAGCACACACACAAGTAGGCAAAAAACATCTGTTTGCGAGTGCGGCCGCGCGTGTGCAAACAACGAATTCTGAGTCTAAAATTATCTCCGCGCATTTCAAACCATCTCTTGTCTGCCAACTGATGTTAGTTTGAGTTCTAGTGTAGCCATGTTTGGTATGCGTTTTGTACCTTCAAAGTGTGAACTACTGCCACAAGATTGCTTTGGTCCAGCACCTCGCCTCACCCGGACTGGGGAAGTAGTAAAGGAAGTAGATAAATTTTGCTATCTGGGCAGCTAGATCTCACCTGTTGGATGCATCAAAGATGAAGTGTCGATGAGAATACAGGAAGTTGGGTTGACATTTACCAACTTGAGACAACTGTGGCGCTGTCGCGATATCCCGGCTGTCTGATAACAGTCGAGTATATACTGCAGCAGCTCAACAAGTGATGCTTTATGGTACAAAGACTTAGTCAATACTTGGAACGGGATGAAAAAATATGGTCGGTGTTCGAACTCCGTTGTCTAGGTCGAATCGCACGAGTCTGTAAGAGTAACCGAACGAGAAGTGCTGAGGTTAGGCGTAGAGTTTTAGCTAATTGCGGTCGTCCACTGGAGCAAGTGGTGAAGCTTCATAGATTATACTGGTTGGAACATGTGCTACGCATGTCATCAGATAGGTTGCCATGGCAAGCGATGTTTGCTGAGACAGGTAGCTGTTGGAGAATGGTCAAGGATGGTCGAACTAAGACTTGGCGTGAGGGTACGAAAACCCTAACTAGGAGCCTGGGTCACATAAGTCCCGATAGACTCTCTGTCTAGGGACCCCGAGATCATGGTCAATGATGACTAGAAATGCTCATGCATCTACTCATTATTCTTGTAACTTCAGTCAATAAAAATTCACTAACCTTCACTATCTCTCAACATTCTCATTTTCATTATGCTGTTTTATCCAAATCGGTGGCCAAAAGAAAACAACCAAAACCGGCACACGAAAGTGCATGTTTGTTAATGGTTGTACAAGCTGAAACTGAACGAATTTACTACTGAGAATTGCTCAGAACATCTGGGAAGGATGTGTCAACCATGAAAAACGATGTATGATCCAAAGAATGTTCGGTGGTTCAGTAGAATGCTTGCACTAGAAGCATGTTCCATAAACGAGCCATGCGGTGAAGCTTACCCAAATTCGGAATGCTGAGTAGTTATCCTAGTAAAAAGTTGTTGAAAATATGCGATAAGTAGTGTGCATTGTACACGATCTCTTACTTGCTGTAAATTGCCACAAACGGACTCATTGATCTGCCAAACATGTTGTCCACATAGTAATCATAATGCTGCTGATATTGTGATGAGTGGCCCAACAGGTAGATACGTATGGAGAAAATTAGGCAATTCTCCTGTTTGCAATCGTCCACTATTCATTTCAACATCATTGGCCCGATAGACAGTAGGAATTTTCGGAACTCTGAGACCTT